AATCCAAGCTATAAAATATTTGAAGGTAGGCGAATGACGATTCACCAATTTCCACCATGAAAAACGAAATAATTTATTAGGTTTTAATTGGATTTGAAATTCCTAGATCTTTTGAGATTCATTGAACTTTTCAATGGCATGTTTCAATCTCGAGTGTGCCCTCTCAAATTTTGTGACTGGGATGCCGAGGATCACAAAACAAGGTGTGAATAACCATACCAATTCACTTGGTACCCTTAATATTATCACCTAATCAATGTGCCGGTTAACCACACACGCTCCATTGATCTATGACAAACATTAAGTCACCCTTCGTGGTCATTACTAGTCCAAGTTAGTGTGCCGGTTAACCACAAACGCTCTACCAACGACTTGGTAAGGTACAAAGTGTGAATTCCATGGGCTAGCACCAAATTCACATTTTTCCTAAAGTAACTAAGATTGGGAAATATTAAGATTTTAGTTACTTTAGTATTTATCATTAATACTTTTAATGAAGGGGGAATTTAAAGTCATTGTCCTACCCGTTCGGCTAACGACCCTCCACCAGTCAAGCAAGCAGTGGGTGAGAGTATACACCCATTAAGTCGCCATTTTATAGGCAACAACCTTATACCCACCTTATAGACCAGCTTCGTGAATGAGGCCTACTAACGGTAAAACGACTTGTTCTTATACATATATATAATAATTAACCATTAATGTTATAAATAGTATAAGTGTTGAATTTTAACTCTTTAGAATTCTAAGGGCTAACTTGGAATTAAAGTATTCATAAGAGAAAACTTTTCAAATTCCAAAACTTGAGGGCAAGTTTTGAAACTATTCAAAACTAATTAATTCCATAACTTATGTGTTTAAAGTAGTTTTAATCCAAAAAACTCTTCAAGTTCCATAACTTATGGAAGACTTTAAACTAATAAAAGAATTAACTTTTCTTTATTTTTATAACTTATGGAATTAATTAAGGTTACACTTTATTTATTAATGAAGTGACTCTTGAATTTCCATAACTTGAGGACAAGTTATGGAGTCATAAAAAAAAATTCAATGACACAAGACTCTTCATTTTGTAACCATTACCAACTTTTATGAGTTTTATGAGTCTTTAATGTGACTCTTCATGTAACTTGAGGACAAGTTACACAAACACATTTTATACTCAACTCTTAGATTAAAATGGATTGAAAACAACTATTTCAATTAACTTTTCTATTAATCTAAGCAACTCATAAGAACAAGATAATTCAAATCAAACTTTCTCATGTAATTAGTCTAAACCTTAAACTAATACAAAACATGAATCTATTGACAATTATCTTTGAAAATGGATTAGCATGAACATTACCACATTAAAAAACAAGTTTATAAGTTCAAAAACAACTTAGGGTAATGTTCCTAGTCCATTTCTAGCCAAAAACCTCGAAAATATGCTGTCTGGGGTCCAACTCGTCGAGTGCATGAACAAAACTCGGCGAGTTGGATGCATTTTGCCTTGGACTCGTCGAGTCCCTTCATGGACTCGGCGAGTCTGCTGGGCTGACAGCATCAAAACTCGATTTTTTCAGCTTCTATTGCAAGTATAACAAGAAAACAAGCCTAGGCTCTGATACCACTGTTGGGTTTTGAGCATTCTAACACTCCTAAGTGTACATGCAACCCTAAATACCTTGGATCTATGTTTTCTCTATTATACATGCAAATAAGAACATCCAAGGTATTATCCTAATCTAGCATACAAAACAATGAGTGTAACAAGATAGAATACATACCTCTTTGATGTAGAAAGTCTTCATGAAGCTTGAGTGCCTAGCCCCAATAGTGTGGAAGCCTCAAATGGAATCACAATCATCAAAACACTTAGAATAACTTGAGAGAGTTCTACACTTCATGAAATCGGCTAGCCCTCTCTAGAATAATCCTAGTGGCCGATTTTGTCAAGAATAATATCATTATATAGTGTTACAATTAGGGTAAATCCTTAATTGTCATGGCTTTCCATTTCCTTGGATCCATGGGTTCAAATACACCATGGAGCATCCATGGACCATCCTATGGGTTTTAGCCCAACTTGATTATCCATGGAGCATTAGCCCACTATATAAGTATAGATGATTTACACAATCAACCCATATATTTAATTAGTCGTCTTTTGATCACTTAATTAATCCTAGATTAATTCTTGATCAATACTAATTAAATAATCTTATTATTCTTATTATTAATATACTAGAACTTATAATATATTAATAACCATAAGTGTCTTATTTCTCTCATTATAGTCTATCCAAGTGCATGATGGTATGCAACCCAAATGGACCATGCCGGGTCGGGTCAAGTCTTACCAATTATAGTTATGGACTTAGACATTAATCCAACACCCCGACCATGTTGGCCCCTACTGGAATTGTCTAAAGTCTTAGGCTTCTTAGCCTGAATCACTGATGCATGTGCTTGCTCCGGCTTTCGCTTGGTGCGGAAGTCCAACTCCATCTCCCATTCTTGGGCCTTCTCTACCATCTCATTTTAGGGTTTTGCACCCTGTAAATGTCACAAACTCCCAGATATCATCCCTCATCATGGAATGATATCTTGTCCTCTGCATCTCCTCATTAATAGCGTACTATGGGATCAACAAAGATCGTTTCTGAAACTTGGCAGTGATCTCCGCCACAGTCTCGGTGGTCTTCTGTAAATTATGAAACTCCCTCACTAGTCGTTGCACCTCGATAGGTGGTGCAAACTCCAAATCAAATCTTCGAACAAACTCGGCCCATGTCATCTTAGCCACCCCGGTTGGTCCCACCTGGCTAGTAACCTCACCCCACCAATCCCTGGCCGTATCTATTATCATTTAAGAAGCAAACCCAACCTTTTCTGCATCCGGGTGAGAACTCATGTGCTGGGCGTTCCTGATATTCGCCACTCAGCGTCGGATGACAATGGGGTCCCTGACGCTGAAAACTCTAGTTCCCCACACGCCTTAAACTCCCAGAACGAGGGAGTTCAGGCCCCAAACTGACCCACAACAATCTCAGCCCTGAATGACCAGAGTCCCTCCTTCCTGATCTCCATCATGCCCTCCTTGACAATCCTAAAAATGAATGGGGTAGCATCAAGGATGCCCCTGGTAACCTCGGATACAATACGTTTGTGAAGCCTCTTATCAATGACATCACTAGTGTCGCCTGATCCTGCCCCGGATCCAGATCCCGATCCTGATCCTCCTGCCCCAAATCGTGTCACCACCATGTTGAACTAAAAATATCATAAATCACAATGATCAGGATTTCCATATAAGGGATCTTCCCACACCGGTTCTCCTTGAAGTTATCAGATCTAACACTGGTTCAGGTAGAGGTCCTGTGCTTTCAGTAGTACAAGCCTAATACTACTTTCCACACCTACTTGTACTTTTCCCCATAGCTCTACCTGATAATTCCAATTCGTACCAAAACCAAACCATATCCCAAAACTACCACATATATCAATCTCAGGTTGTCCTAAGATTTACTCTACTCATATCAATCAGACCAATCATAACAGGTTGCATTTATGCATGCAAATTGTACATAGAAAAGTATCAAATAGACTTTCGAATAAAATATTCTACCCTAGGACCACAACCAAACAAGGAACAGGAAATAAGCCCAAATCGATCATTCTGAGACTATAAGCTCCTAACCGTATACAATTTTAAAGCATACACATAGCAAGTTCTATATAATCAACAAAACTCAAATATCAGTATAACATGGCTAACATATTGGGGAACTACTTACTCGGCTCGGCTGATCATGCGCGTTGCACTCTCATCTTGTCATTTCTTTTTAAAACCTTTTTATGTTACTTTTGAAAAGAATTTTTACCATTTCCTTAGTTTGAGTCCTGACACAGTTGAGAGTGTGCCCGAATCCCTCAAACCAAGGCTCTGATACCAACTTGTAACGACCCAAATTTTACAAAGAAAAATTTCATTTTTAATTAATCAAACACATTTGCATAAATCATGAAATCCCAATGCAATTGTTTTCAAATCCACATTCATTACAATTTATTTAAAAACGTTCGAGTGTCCCTAAATCATATCAGTGAAAGAGAGATAGAGTGCACGCCGCGTCATTACGCCTTGCCCTTGCCCTTATACTCGGATGTACCTGAAAACAAATCCACAAACGGTAACCTAGAAGCTTAGTGAGTTCCTCATATCATACCACACACAATCCACATATACATATCATGTTAGCATTTA